TATATATATATATAGTGCACAACTGAAGACTTATTGTATTGTGACATTGCACTGATATAGGACACACAAGTGAACTCATCTGCAAAAATGTGAAAATATTATTATATGTAAATACTAATTACAGCCTTAAAGAGTTTTGAAAGAAAAAGTGCTTATTACTACAGTATGTGCCAGATATTTAGAATTATCTGCTTTTAGAAACACTTGTAACTACAAAGCTTACTTTTATTCTGTTTCACAGTTTTGCATTTGCTATTACATTTGAAGAATAATCTGAAATGTTTACTGATAGTATATAAACTCTATTCTATCCAAGTTTACATCTGGACCAAAAATGTGGTCTGTTTTTTTCCCCCCAAATAAACAAGAAGTTTCTCTATATCTGTATTTGTGTATATTGTATTTACAAAATAGAAACCGGTTATAATATTACATTATATTGACAGTATATACACAAGTGCATCAACAGTTTCACTGATGTAGATATTTTGTTGACGCTGTTGTTAAATTAACTTAACATCTGTAAAATCAGCACAGCTTTGTAGCGTCTCATTCTGCCATTTAAAAAGTTTTTGGTGACAAATCTTGGGGATGGTAGACTTTTCTTCTTCTTCTGTACTCTGTCCATCCTTTTCTCATCCCTGCATCTGTTTAGTCAGAGTCATCGCTGCTGCTGCAGTAGGAGCTGTCGCAGCATTCGGCCATGTACAGGAAGGTGTGCTCACTCGGGTCCAGCTTGGGGACCCACTCCCTCGGAACCAGGAAGGTGGCCAGGTTAAACAGATCCACAAACACCTTGTAGCGATCACTGGTAAAACATTCATAAGGCTTATCAATGCATTCTGTTCTTGTTTCATCTCATTTTTCAGCATTGTGTTTCACATGGATAATTCCAACAGATGCAGAGTGTTTCATCTGGAGACTGGATTTGTCCCAGATTATTTGGCCTACCTGACAGTGGAGCGCAGGTAATGATAGCCTGATGAGCCACCTGTGCCGTCTTTACTGCCAATCATTCTGTGCACCATACACACATGGTTGTCTAGGGGAAAATTCCAGTATAAATTATGCAGGAAGTAAAATAAAATAGTTATTGATATGCAAAAGAAAATATTTTGTTCTCTTTTATTCAGGGTTGACACTCCTAATAGGCTTTGCCCTACAGGTTTATTTGCTGTTCTGATGCTTTATGCTTTCAGTGATATCACATACATCTCCATTTTGTCATGAGGGTGTCGATGTCCATCAGAGATGTCAGGAGCTGGAAAGGAACCTGAAATCGAGGCTCCTCCCTGAGAGCAGATGGCGATAAGTTACAAATGAGTTAAAAAGAAATTAGATTTTTTTTTTCATCAAGCTATAAAAAAAAAACATTTTTTAGCAAATGTACAGGGGTGTTCCTTTGAGTATCATGTAAATACTGTATGTATGAATATGTCCAGTATTATTCAGTACCATGACATACATATCAAGAAGTCCTATGATATTACATCTGATACCGCATCTCATTTTGAAAGATTATTGATAAATATTAAGGTAATTTTTCATAGTAACTTTCAGGCGTAACAGTTGAATTTAACTCGTTGGGTTTTAAATAGGTAAGTTTACAATAAGGTGGCATGTTAACATTAGTTTACATTTATTTATCTTGGTTAATGCTAATTTTTATATATAGAATGATTTCATGTAACACTGAAGTTGGAGTAATGACTGCTGAAAATTCAGCTTTTCCATCACAGGAATGTATTCAATATATTACAAATGTAGTAAAATATTAAACAGTTATTTAAAATTTTAATAATATTTCACAATATTACTGTTTTTTTTTTTTTTACTGTATTTTTGATTAAATGCAGCCTTGGTGAGAGGTGGTAGAACAGCATCTCTTTACTGATTTTGTGATTAAATTAGCAGGTCATCTTGCAGATAGATTTACCTATAGAAGTAGATCATCAGGGCTCCTTGCAGTGCTTTATAGGACAGCCTCCTCTGACCTGCATAGACAGAAGCAGATATTCAGATGTTATAGCTAGTGGATGTGTCACTTGACATTGTGTCTCTGCAGCGCCTCGAGAGGTTTTCTGACCTGTGCTTACTAAGTGATCGTGTCTTTTCTCATCAAAGAGCGATAAGAAAATGTCTCTCTGCTTAATGAGCTCGGCCATCATCTCCTCTTTCATTTCCGAGGCTGGTTTTTGCTATTAAGAGGAAACGAGAGTTGTCACTTACGACTTAGATCTGAGAATTGCACAGAATTACCCAGGGATCCTCCACGTACCTCTATTTTTTCCTTTTCTCTCCTGAGCCCGCCGAGAATATTGGTTTCCAGTTTCCCCCAAAAATTGAAGCCGTCTTCCTCCAAGCCAGGCGTTCTCTCCAGCCATTGCTGAAAAGTATTGATTGCTTATGAGAATTGTTAATCAGCAGGTTGCTGTCCGCTAGATTAATCCTGACTTGATATATAAATTGGCCACGTAACCTATTCCTCTCTGAATACCAATAACCTGCAGTGAAGTCCAGTAAGTTATGGTTCATTGATTAATCCACTATTCATGACTTCACAGCTAATATTTCATCTTATAATGTCATTTCCCTCAGGTTTACCTCCACTAACTGCAGCAGTGTGGGCTCCTGCTCTGAGTGGAGGAGCAGCTCACTTTCCTGGTCACGGAAATTGTCCCGGTAATGCCTTCTGTTGTAGGGGACCCTCTGGTTGTGCTGGACCCCAATCTTATTTTCCAACAGTCGAAACTGCAGACTCTGGAAGCCTGAAGCAGATGAGAGATATTCCCTGTGCACAAAAAAAAACACAGATCAATTGAGCTAAATACAATTATGCTAAACACTGCCATTGATTTTGATTTAACAAATTAGTGCCACCCAGTGCTTATTTACTGAGTTAGCTGTCTCCCGTCTCTTGAGTGTTAGCACATTTCCAACAGCAAGTCTGCCCAAACAATGCTGTTATCCATGAAATGTAATACTTGTTTTCAGTAATTGTTTGGCAGTGAGTCTTTTTTTTTTAAACAGTATTAGTAATAAAAATAATGATAATTATATACAACTTACCTGAAGTCATAGAAGTCTAAGGCAGTCATGGTTTCCAGAACAGCAAACTGGTCAAGCAATAGTCTGAATATCATCACAATCCTGTGGATGCGAGTGTTGACTTTGAGCATGTTTCGCTCGTCACGTACCTGAAAAAATATGCAGTACATTTAGATTCATTTTCAGCAGACTTTATACTGACACATGGCATTTAACTAGAGAAGTATCTTAAACTAGACTGAAGGTGGCAGCCTCATGCTGCAGTGCACATCCTTTCTTTGAACTGAACTCTACATCATAAAACTGAAGGTTCGGGCTGTTCGTCATTGTCCTAAAGGCCCCCAAACAATGAATGAACTGAATTTTGATTAGGTCTTGAAGCATGCATATATGTGGCACTTTGACAAGAATCCCAAATATCCTTATATGTGAAGTAATATAAAAAAATCATTATTTTTAAATATATTAATAATTTTATGCAACAATGACAAAATAATGACATTTATAATGTTAAAAAGATTTTTAATTCAAATAATTGCTGTTCTTTTGAACTTTCTATTCATCAAAGAATCTTGAAAAAAAATTTATCAGTTTCCACAGTAATATTAAACAGCCCAACCGTTTTCACTGTTGATAATAATAAAAAGAAATGTTGAGCATCAAATTGGCATATTACAATGATTAACACTGAAGACTGGAATAATGACTGCTGAAAATTCAGTTTTGCCATCACAGGAATAAATTGCAATTTAAAATGTATTAAAATAGAAAAAAAAAGTTGTTATACATTTTTAATGATATTTCAGAATATTACAGCTTTAGCGAATGTAAGAGACTAAAAAAAAAAAAAAGCATAAAAACAATCTTACAAAACCCCAAACTTTTAAATTGTAATGCAGAATAGCACAAAATATCAGATAATAACATTAAAATTATTGCCCTATTTCTGTCTGAGCTATTGAGCTGAGTTGGTGTTTTATTTACAGATATTTATGAAAATCATTCATCATCTCTTGCTAATCTCTTCTTTGTGCCCTGTCAGCTTGAACCTTCATTAGATGTAATATCAAAAATGGCCCTTAACAAATGTTTAATAGGTGACTTATTAAGTGTTAATTTTATTAAATTGATTAATAGCAGATCCAATCAAGTGGGAGAAAAAAGGAGCTAAACCTGAATAGGTGACTTATTAAATGTTAATCTTATTACATTGATTAAAAGCAGATCCAATCAAGTGCCAGAAAAAAGGAGCTAAATCAGATCACTAACTGTTCGTAACCCAGTAACACAAATCTTCATGTTTGAGGATACTCACATGTCCACTGATGAAGATTTCTCTCACCGAGTCCAGCTCCCACAGAACTTGTTTAAACCACAGTTCATATGCTGCAATACAAGGAATGAGTTAATCATTTCTTCAGGTTACATGTGAAAAGTCATTACATTTGAGGTGCAGTGCCATTGAACTCCAAGGTTATGGAAGTCATTAGATTTCAGCATGTATTTATTTATGTATTATGTGCATATGGATTATTACTGGTGTGGTAGATGCTTGATTGTTGATGTTGTTAAGTTGTTGTTATCAGATACAGAACATGGGTTACATTCAGCATTATGTTGTTAATTTTTTGAGTTAGTCTTGCCTATTTTTGGCTGCAGTGAAACTTGTCAACTTTGTGTTATAAACGGAGAAATGGGCGTTTTTGTTTTTTCCCCTGACGTGTTTTGGGAGCATTCATTGGAGAGAGGCTAAGACTGATTTGCCCAAAGGCTGTTTAGCATTTGTTTGTCTCACCTTGATGTGTGACGATGAACAGATGTTCATCATGGATCTTGTTTCCCTTCAGCTCACTTTGAAGCACCTGAGATGTCACTATTTTATCCAGCTGGGGATGAGAGAACATTTTTGTTTCATGGAAAGCAAGCCAAAAAATTCTGAAATAACCAAACTAATTGTGTCTATTAAAATAGAACATAAAAAACGAACTAGTTCACAGTTTGCCATTAAAATCTGAAATGCACACAGCACATGCATTTTCCAGTGTTAATTTGGCAACTAAGGAAGAATCACATGGTGTTCTGGACATACATAGCATTATAATAAACTTTAGATTCGAGGGCTGCTCACGAATTAATCATGAACTATTTTAGGAGAAGCTATGCTTTATGCTTATTAAAATATATAAAACAAATCATAAGCATGAGCTAATGAGTAGTTTACCTGCAGATAGTCACCATAAATAAGACCTCCTTTACTGGCCTTGTTAATTCCAGTCTGAGAATCATCATTCTCATCTTCTTTCTGATGCTGCTTACTGCTTGACCTGCATTTTCATCAAACGCATCAACAAGAAACATTTGTGTATTCAATGTAGTTTTGTCTTCCAACTGGTTTCAGATATGACAGAGATATAATCCGCTCCATTTTAATTAAGGGGAAATGCGGCTTTGAAATGAGCAGTAAATGATCTCAAATATCGAAAAATGTTGAAAGCTGAATATACATACACAAATTTCCTCTGAAAATATGGGCATCCACTCATGGCTGAAATGTTAATATGAGACAAGCCGGATTGTTTTCTTTCCCTCCACTTCAAAAAGGCAGTTCTCAAGGATGTTCAGACGTTTTATAACGTTTTCCCCCATGCTGACTGACCAATCGCCTCTAGATCCATCATCCCACCTCCCTTCTGTCCGTGTTCACCCCCGTGGACACGTTGTACTTTGTCTTTTTCTTATCTTCGATGAAATCGAACTGATACAGGTGAATTGAAACAGAACTTTGACTTAACATTATGAGCAGGGCGTTTGTAGATAAATTGAACGCAGTGGCGCCTGCAGGTGTACGGCTGTACACACTACCATGAGCTCCTTGACTGACCTGAGAAACATTCCGTAACGTTCCCTGGCTCTTCTCCTGGCCAGGGGTCTGAAATGCACGGGGGTAAATTGGACAAAAATGCCCCTGCGCAATTAAAATAAATCTATTACGGCTGTCGCGAAGAAAATGAAAATGAAATGAAAAATGTCAATTGCGGCATTACATTTATTTGCTCAGACTCAGTGTTCATATAGCGTCATATTTCTTTTGACGCGTTTTGTCAGTGCGCATGCGCGCTGACTGGATTATGCACTGCCCAATTATCTCATAATAAACAACAAAGTGCACATGTACGATGTAAGTAAGAGATCAATGTCACAGCGTAGACAGCTTCATTGATTATAACAGCAGGTTTGTGTGTGTGTTTCGAGAATGCTTAAACCGTCCGTCATAATGTTTTTTAATGTAAAAGTTATTTGCTCGCTTTATGTATTGGCCTGTAACTTATTCGATGTTTGAATAACATCAATTATTTTATGATATTCTCCTTAATTTCTATGTAGTCATGCTTTTTTTTCCTTAAGTTTGCTGCTCTAAATTTGGTTCAGTTGCATAAAATGACAATGTTTGACATTTGATTATGTCAGTGACTTGTTAAACAAACCTTACACAGTTTTTAACAGACTGCATGTGCAAAAATACATTTCAGCTACTTGCTTACACTGTCCATTGTGCTTCTGTGATGGTTTTTTAGGTTTTTGAAGATCAGTATCCATGTGCAGTGGTTGCAGAAAGAAAGTTTTGAACAATGCTAGTCAACACCAATGGTGAGTCATGCATCATTTGAATCATTTACATCAACTTAATCATTTTATAGTGGACTCATGTATGCTTGTGTATATATATATATATATGAGAGAACCTGGTATGATTAAACTGTTTATAGAGGCTTTGATGATCTGTCTGTATTATACACGCTTTTCAGCTGAATTGTGGGTAACAGGTGAACTCTGGCTAGACTGAACAGATTGTGAAAGGTTAGAGGGTTTGGAATGAGAGTCTGGGGATCCAATGTGTGTGTCAGAGACAGACAGCAGGCTTGTCTTTGTGTGGTAGTCTCGTGTCCTTGTAAACACACTGCTCGCTCGGGCACCAGCGTTTGCTGATATTGAGCGGCCTGTGACAGGGTTTGGGTGTCACTGTCTTCATACCTTTTGAGAAGAGTTGGCTAATCCGTCAAATCTGCCAGTTGGGGCATAAGCGTCACAAAAACGGCTGTTGGAGACAACACTACACAGAAATGAGTGACCTTCATAAACTAGTTTTTATTTTGGGGAATCAGTAAAAATAAGCAAAAATGCTCCAAATGCAGTAAAATGAGTCAACCCATTAGGAAGTGTGTTTGCAAGGACTTGATTGTGCATAAATGTTGTGTTTGAGGGCAGTGTTAATCAGGAGCCGGGGCAGAACAGTAAAGTGCATCGTGGATTAAACCAGAAAACAGAGACCATGGCTAATACGGGTGATCCAAGGAAGGTTTTTCCTCAGTGCATTTGCATATCATTAGCATGCACTGCACTGAAACAACACAGTGGTGTTTTGGTGGCATCATCAGACCTTGCCTCACTCACTCATGCTTAGTAAATATGATGGCAATTTCCTAAAGGAAGTCCATTGTCTCTTTGAAATCTATATTTATAAATCCACAACTGTTATTATTAAAATCATTTATGCCATTGTGCATTCCATCATACGGGTTTGTGTATGGGGTTTGCTACGTGTCTCTAGCTTTCCAGCAGAATATTGCAGTCGTGGGATCCGCAGAAAGCTCCAGGCCAAAAAGGGCCTTTACGTAACGCCTCACTTTAAAGTACAGCCATGTTATGTGATCTCATGTTCTACTTTACTCTCTTGATATAGAATTGATCAAGTTCCTGCTGCGCTTTTATGTATGGTTACAGGGTGTCTACAGATATGAACAAGTTCACTTTAAGACTTTTTAATACCACCTTATGTGAAATTTAAGACCACACTTGTGATGGAAATATACATTATATTACATACGCATATGTAATATTTAATGTGTTTAATGTAAAAAGAAACAAAATATAATCGCTGTCAAAAATGCTATTTATTATTACGATATACAGTGAACTTTTCATATCAACAGACAATATCCCATACAAAATATCCCCACAAAAGCACAGCATCACCAAGATTTTTGGTGGTGTAAACGATTTATTCAGAAGCAGTATTTTCATCACTGTTCTATCAGCTTTTACATACTTAAATCTGCATGTTTTTAATATTTACGCCAGGATGTTGTTTACCCTTTACAAAGGCCAATATTTTTTAACCTTATTAAATATATGTGTCATCTTTCATGTCAAATTCTTACAATTGATCAAGAAATTAAATATACACTATAGCTGTTACCAATCAAATTAAAGAATTTACACTGCAAAATTACAATAATGTTATGAGATTGTTTTAAATAACATTTTGAATATGTGACCTGTGCTGGCAAAATGTCACATTTAGCATTTTTTCAAAAATGAGTTATTTTCATTTTCACATTCTCCATTAAAAGGCCTTCAGAGTGATGTATGATGTGTTGGAATCGGCCGAGAAATGACTGAGCTACACCTGTTTGAAGTCGACAGAGTCCGCAAAGTCAATTTTGAGAAAAATCGAGTTAAAGGTTTCTGAAGGTTCCAAAGCAGAATCACCTGCAGCGTTTCATCTTTTCCTCCATTTCTAATCTTAATTTCTATATTAATAGTCACAATATAGCTATTTTTAATTTTATCTTTGTTATTATAAATAAGAATAGATGCAAAAATTAGAACAAATATAAAAAACAAATAGTGCATTACCTTTTTCATTTTACATCTAAACAAAAAGCATTCAAGAAAAACAAAATAATCAAATGTAAAAATCCCTTTAGTGTGTTCATTACAAATACATTTATTATTAAAACTACAAAAGCAGTTCAATCAAGAGCATGCGAGTGATTCTTTTATTGTTAGAATAACATTAATGAGGCAGCCTATATTAAGACCTACTGTAATGCACGGATCTAATATATATAATAATAATATCTATATATAATATCTATAGTCTTAAGTCGCTGGGGTATATTTGTAGCAATAGCCAAAAATACATTGTATGGGTCAAAATAGATTTTCCTCAGATTCCAGATTTTCAAATAGTTGTATCTCTGCCAAATATTATCATGTCCTAACAAACCATACATCAGTGGAAAGCTTATTATTCAGCTTTCAGATGATGTATAAATTTCGAAATAATTGTGGGCTTGTGGTCCAGGGTCACATATAATGTTACACATCAGATGTTTTTCCCCCAACAGTTCCCCGAACGTTCACTGAAGACATAACAGATTATGTTTGCGTGAATACTTAAATACTGTAATTCTGTGTATATGTATATTAAACATCTAAAATTATTATTCGGAGCATTGGGATCGCTAGACGAGGGCTTAAAGATCTAATTTTTGTGAAAACCTCAAAATCAACTAATCAACATTTTTCACTTTTTTGCCTGTTGCTCAAAATTAGCCCGTGCGAATTCCGACTCATTTTGCCAACACGGGTCACTTATACAAATATGATATGTTGGGGAAAAAATGCATAATTTTAAACATGAGACTAAACCGCCAGTAGGTGGCGGTAAGTCACTTATTCCTTCAAAACGCCGAATCATTCAGGAACAAAAACGCAGAGTGTTGCTTTGAGTATGTGCAGTACTGTTCTGATCTTTGTTTGGAACTATTTTCGTGGGTGAAATAGAACAAAACAGTCAATATTGAGTCTAAATTGTAATACTTCTTGTTTGTAGAACGAAAATCAATGTAACATTTGCAATCGTGAAAATATTAAGCAAAATAGCTCCATTGTCATGTTATGTTACTTAACTACATCATTATATAAATAAACTAAACATTTTGAATTTTTACGTCAGTAGGCTATGTTTGTTCTGTGAGAATTTATGTGTGCCGTTACGCTCATTTGATTTGATTTCTCCATGAAAGTCTCTCACAGACACAGGCAGCACGAGCCTCAACAGCGCCTCATTGGTTTCGATGCGTCACTAGTTATTTTTTGTCACTTAAGTTTTAATCAGGCTATTTTTCGTACTAAGCAAACAATCAAGCAACAAAACAAAGCAATATATACAAGTCCTCTGAGCTCATTTTTGCTAGAATTAATAACTGTCGCATGATGTCACCTTTTGTATGAAACAAAACAGAGTCCCCTAGTGCGTGAAATTCCGCGAAAAGGGCAGATTGCTTTACGTTCCGCAGTCAACTGTAGGGGGCTCCAAACTTGAAAAACACACAAAACTACATACAGTTGCTTTAAATGTGTACAGTTTACGTTGGAGCACTTATTATGGTGTTTAGCAAATCTGTCCTGTATAGAAATAATTATATTGCTGTGTCTTGAATGATGCATGATAAATTATGCATTTTGTACTCTTCCATCTAGTGTACGGATTTTAGAAGGCTCTGCTAAGGAAAGCTGTGACAGCTGAAAGCATTAAGCATCCAAAATTCTACACTTTCAGGCTTTTATTTATTTAGTTAGTTAAACAAGTGTGTATTTGAAGTGCACTTTTTATTTATGAAATTTTCAGTATGAACAAACTACTCACAGTATTTATACTACAAAATGGCATAGAATAGTGCTCCAGTACACAAACTGAGACACACCTAATGTTTTCGACATTACATTTGACAATACCCAGTTAAAATGTGGGAAGATCATAATTACGAAGCAGTAACTCTAGAATCGGTGTGATTTGGCAAGTAAACCAACATCACGTATGTAGAAAGAAATGAAGTTTAGCACTAGATATGCAGAGCAAGTCTCTTTACAGGTACAAAGGTCAAAGATAATTCTGCTTGCTTTTTTAAAGCTGAGATTATTGATTTTTTTAGGAATGGTAACTTTTTATTATTGTGCTCAATTTTTCAAAGTTTATATTTTTTTTAGTGCTGTCAAATGCATCCACAATAAATGTTTTTGTTTATATACAGTGGGTACGGAAAGTATTCAGACCCCCTTAAATTTTTCACTCTTTGTTATATTGCAGCCATTTGCTAAAATCATTTAAGTTAGAAATGATAGTTTAAGTTAGAAGTTTTCTGTGTTTAGACAGAAAAACACAGAATTGTTGACATTTTTGCAGATTTATTAAAAAAGAAAAACTGAAATATCACATGGTCCTAAGTATTCAGACCCTTTGCTGTGACACTCATATATTTAACTCAGGTGCTGTCCATTTCTTCTGATCATCCTTGAGATGGTTCTACACCTTCATTTGAGTCCAGCTCTGTTTGATTATACTGATTGGACTTGATTAAGGTGTGTACTGTGTATATTTATTATGTGTATATATAAATACACAAACGTACATGTATATATTTTAAAAAATATTTACATTTATATTATATATAAATATAAATATTTTATAAATAAACAAAACCTTTTTTCTAAAATATATACATGCATGTGTGTGATTTTATATATACATAATAAATACAGTACACACGCATATGTTATGTAAACAAAAACTTTTATTTTGGATGTGATTAATGGCTTGACAGCACTATTTTTTATTTATTTTTTTATATTGTTAACATCTTGTTAACATCTTAAAAAGAAATGTTCTGACGTCTTAACACACATTCCCATAAACCTCATGTATGTATTTACAACCTAAATGAGGAGAGCACTTTTTTCCTGCCTCAATACACCGTCTGTTGCTGTCTGCACATCCAGACACTTCCACTTTGCCCGATCATCAACATTATTAGTCTGAGAGCTTGAATAAATCATGAACATGTGCAGCTGACCAAGTATTATGTTGACTTTAATGATGATATCTGCAAGAAGACACACCCTGTGATATTAGGGAGTGGCGATCATTGTCTGTTAGGATGCACAATGCATCTAATGAGCAGTCTGAATAAGAAAACATACTTGTTTTATGATCTCAGAATTACCAGCAGTTAAATGCTGCAATTACCACATCATGTATCGATATGGTTTTGTGATGTACCCATGTGTTCATAAACCACTTTTAAAGAGTCTGAGCTAGAAGGTTGTTGTAGAAATCACATGATAGTGGTTTACAGGTTTCAGGGACTCAACAAGCACATTTTCAGGCTCTGTGAGCCCGACTTTTCTGCCTTTGATCACTCATTAATTCGATTTTACACAGAGCAATTATAAATTTAAGTTAATATTTAGGGATTACCATTAATCAACCCACTATTGCCAAAGCAGATGAAAGTGAGTTTTACTCATGACTCATGCAGTTTTGCCTTTGATTAAAATTAATTCACATAACCTCTCACATCTAACTTCAGACTGCCACAGTGCAATTCTTAGTTCATCAATATATATATATAGAAACAGCAGTTTAGCGCTAGTGGACAAAAGGGTTTTGCTGTTGTATTGCCAAGACCATGAAACTAGGCTAAAGTGTATCATGTTCTTAATGAACCTGATTTTAATTTATTTTGTGCTCAAAGCAATAAAATCTGTAAAAAAAATTAAAAAAAGTAATTTGATCATTTATTTTCTTTTAAGTACAAACAATTTTCATAAATATTTCCCTTGGGACCTGTAACCAAATGAGCAAATAATTGTTTTTAATTTAAAAAATATGCAGGTAAACACACATTTACATAAATACAGACATTTACATATTTTCTGTGCTGCCATTTTATTCATTATATGTACAGTTTATTCAGTCAATGTATGACGTAAAATGGCTGTAAATCAAAGTGCCAAATGTCATTTATAAAACACTGTTTTTGTAACTAAAAGTAGAATCAGACCTAAATAAAAAAATAACACAATCACCTAAAATCACATTTTAGGGGAGTTTTCATTGCACAACATGATTTTTTTCTTCTTCTATTATGATATTCATGAAATGTACAGGAAAAAGAGACAAATCTGAATAAATATAAAAATATTACAGTGTATAGCTGGCTACAATAAACCACCTGACATCACGTGGTATTTTTGCAGTGGTACAGTGATATGTATATGTAAACTTTTTTCATTTTCCAAAAGGTATGCCATTTTTCTCTTTAGGGACATAATTGAATAGTGCTTGTAAAAATGAATAATAAATAGTTAAATAAAGATATCAACAGCTTCATTAATCTGGCCTGTCTCTTGATGCTGTTAAGTTAATTGTGCTCCACAATTGTAACCTTGTTAAGGCCTTAAATAGGTCTTGAGAATGCACAATGTTTCACAACGCACAGCGTTGTTTTAATGCTCTTTTTCCCCCTATGTAGTTCTCTTCTTATTAGACTAAGAGTAGTAGCGTTTTTACAAACTGAGAAGGTAATAAACGTGTCCGCTTAACTTTTTCTTCAATTACAAATTGCACAGAGTGGCTAATCATGGTCTGTTCACTACCTTTTGCCAATCTCATTTTGTCTGAGGAACTGAATGTTGCTAACGCTGTCGGCTAGCTCAGGATACTGCTCTACCGACAACACATAGTATCCATCGTAGCCTTGCACTCGTCCGCTGCTGAGAAGCTGCCTTCTCTCTCCCTCAGTCCATAGGCGGGATCCTTCCTCTCCGTTTCGGACCCGCTGCTGCTCCTGTGCCCACGAGATGGCGAGAGCCCTCTGTCGGGCCAGCTCTAAAACACGCACTCGTTCCTCATCCAGAGACGCCCCGTAGCGCACGTGCAGGGTGAGAGCCCCCCTCTGAAACTCCACATCTGCGAAGCGCCGGGTGCGGCCACCTAGCACAGCTGTGGACTGCGACACCGTCACGTTCACCGCGTTCTCAAGTTCTTTCTGTCCGCTAGTAAGCCGCAGCGCTGCCAGGTCTGCTTCAGGAGAATTCATTTTAACAAAGAAGTGCGTGTCTCTGCCATCCACAATAAAGTGCAAGTCTTTCAAGTAAAGTGCGCCATTGAGGATGTTGGCAACCTTGACGCAATCCTCATTAGCCAGGCTTAGTGCGCGAGTTATCACGATACCTTTGTAAAGGGCCAGCATGATCCCGCGACCTATCAATGAATCGCTTGAGGCAAACCACAGCCAGGGTTTATCAGCCCTTTGGCTATGGCCGAACTCAACCTGTGGCAGATCCCCAAATGTTAGAAATGCTTCAGCTTGTCGGATGACGTGCTGCTGGACTGCAAAGCTGGCCTACAAAAGAAAATAATAAACATTTTACAGAAACATGTGGTTATAGTTCCATTCCATGTGGTGAAAAAAATTATTCAAAAGGATACTACAAGATCTGAAAAAAATGGAGATAAAATTATTTTTCATTTACATTTATTTCTTGAAAAAAGTATAAAAACAGCTTTTATTATTTTATTATAAATTATTATTATTGTAAAAATCCTGATACTATTATTTGAAGATGTAATGATACAAAAAAACTTACTGCCAGGTTAATATAATATAATATAATTAATATAATAATCCAAAACAAATTCCTAATTCTATTCTAGTATTCTCACTCTGTATTATTATACTCTGTTTTTATTATTATTTTGCATTAGTTTTTATTTTTCATTTTAATTTGAAATAATTAATATAAAGTTTTAGTATTTTTTGTCATAGGTTTTTTATGTCTATATAGGTTTTATTATTTTTTATTTAGGTTTTTTATTTATTTTAGTACATCAAGTTAAACTAAACGAAAATGAGAAATGTTGCCTTGGTAACTAGCTGAAATAAAATAAAATATATTTATATTTTTTTATTTATTATATTTCAGTTAAAATTTACTTTTATTTAAAGTAATGAAGTAATGATTTTTTTAATGGTTTTAGATTTAGTTAACTATAATAACCCTTTATACTAGTACGTAAAGATATTCATCCAAAATAAACTTACTGTCAGGTCATCCCACACTTGACTTTTGGCCAGTTCATAAGAGGCTTGTGTCATCTCAGAAATGGGGATAGGGAAACCAGGGATACTATTATGGAGATGGAATCCAAATGTGACCAGCCAGCTGTTCACATCTGTAGCAAATATCAATGAATAAATAAAAAATTATTTCAGAATTTGCGATTGGGGAAATGTGCAATGTATAGCAGATATATTACTTGCAGAACTAGAATATGCAGATACAGTAGATGCTGTGAATCCATCCCATACCTGTTAAGTAGTCTCTAACTTTCTGCACTTTACTTATTGGGTTGTTGTTTCGGAACATGTAGAGATTGAAAGGGCCTGGGTTCTTGCTGATTTTCTTCCACTGCATGAAGTCAGGTGCAGTCCAGCGACCCGACATGATGTCATAATCCCTCACTCCAAAATGAAGCAGTTTTGTTAGAGGGTCATAAAGTCCTCCATGAAACCCAATCACCAACTGGATGTCAGGATTGGAGTCCGAGCAGACCTCGCCGTAGGCTGTATAATGAACCTGCTTGAGGAGGGTGCCATCACTGGCAAAGACAGCCAGTGGTGTTCCTATGTTATCACAGGCTATGTAGAACTCTGCTCCACTGCTGATCTCCATTGCAAACAAGTGTCCCTGCAGGTCATAGTATAGAGAGGTAATCTGTGAGCTGGAATGGTTGTAGACATGTGTTATCCTGCTTGGGTAGCTCAGGTCAGCATAGAAGAACTGCAGATGTTGTCCCATGCTGGACTTTGTGGAGACTCTTCTTCCCAAACCATCGTAACGGTACTGGACGGACCAGCCGCTGGATTTACTGTAGACATGTTTTAGGTGGCCATTGGAATTGTATTGGAAGATCTCCGAGCCTCTCTGGCGAAGAAACCCATCTTCGTCCAACTCGTACTGGAGATCTCCAAGACGAGTTATACGGTCTCGTAGGTCATAACGGAGGGGCATGATTCGTGCACTGTTTGCTGGACTCAGCAGGTGTATGTTCCCGTTTAAGTCATAGCTGTAGCGCCATGTCATTTTCTCATTAAGGTAGACGGTCTGCAACTGCCCGTCCACGTCATATTCATAACTGTACTTGGTAGCATTAGCAAACGAGCCAATCTTCATCTCCCGCTTGGTTACTCGGCCCATATCGTCATACTGGACCGTGATCCAGAAGAGCAGAGCCCGGAAGAGCTCATACTGAATCTCTCGAACCCGACCGTGCCCATCAAAGTGCTTGGTGTAAGTCATGACAGAGGTAGAGATGATCTGGTTGATGTCATAATAGATGACGCCAAATTTGCCGAACTGCTCCACCTTCCCTGAGATGTCATCATACTGATAAATGTCAATAGGCAGTGGGGTTTCATTGATGACCCCCTGAATACTCGTCACACGCAGACTACTGTCGTAAGCGTAGTCGAAGCGAGCGTTTACCATCCCGTCCTCGCTGAAGCGGTAGATCTGCCGGTCTACCAGTGGGCCGAGCTGCCTGTATCTAATGGTGCATATAAAACCCTCACTTTGCAGATTGACCGTCTTCAGCACACCTGCCGTCTCATCGTAGGTGAAGCTGACACGAGTGCTGTCGTACAGAACCTCCGAGAGTTTGTTGTGCCAGCGGTACTGGTAAAGGACTCTCCGTCCCGTGCCCAGCTGTGCCACTCTCAGGAGCCTCCCATCCTCACTGTAGTCTACAGTGACGGAAGCGTTGCTCTCAGGCATATGGTAAAGATTGCGGTAGTAAGACACAGAGCGTATGGTCTCCATAGTGTATCGTGCCACACTAGGCATAGTGACTGCAGAAAGGCCTCCCTGAGGGTCATATTCAAAGACATACTGCCGCTGACTCGCCAGGATCAGGACAGTGGACTAGAACAAGAAGAAAACAACTTGCATAAACCAGGGGGAATTAAGATAAACTAATTTTATGTAAATTGTCACACTAATTGGTTAATCTTATTAGGATACAAAAGTTTTTGCAGTATAAAAGGCATAGTTCACCCAAAAATTACAATTCTTCACCATTTACTGACCCTCATTTCATTTGTTGACAAACATCTTTTTTCTTTCCTTCTGTAGTGTTCCATGGAAGAAAAAAAATCATGTGTAGGGTGTATAAATGATGACAGAATCTTTGGATTTTTTAGGGTATATATAGTTCAAAAGTTTGGGTTCAGTAAGATTTTATTTTATTTATTTTAAACAATGCATTGAGCAAAAGTGATTGAGTTAAGTCAAAAAAGCTTTACATTGGTGGTAAGCAGTGTGTATGTGGCAGAGTCTACTGACAAAACTCTTGATGACTACAGTATATCGCATACATCACTAAAAGCAATTTCCACTGGCCTGTACCTTCTCCAGGTAAGTGTAGCTCCAGGTCTTCCCATCAGGAAATGTTCTGGAAAGCAGACGGCCTTGTCCATCATACTCCGCCCTCTCTGAGACAGAGCCCCAGTGTATGGCACTCAACTGCCCATTGCTATTGCGAGTGAGGTTGACGGGCAGCAGCTTGCTACTTGGCATCCAGAGAGTGGGCTGACCTGCTGTGTCATAACCAATCTTCAGAAGGAATTTACGGTGATCATCATAGATCTTTTCAATCCTCAGCGCTCGGTCATAATCAACAGACAAAATGTTCCGTCCATTTACCTTGAAGTGCAGGCAGAGGAGATACACAAAATTGGTACGGCAACAGTAAAATGGCAGAAAGTAGGCTAGAAAATTGGCAGATTTTTTCATCTGTTAGAGTTGCTTTGGTTTCCGTCAGAAAGTTTGACTTGAATCTTTGTGTGAGTCTCATAATGAATAGCTCAACTTTATATAACTAAGTGGTTTAGTGGCACGCTCAAACTATTAAATCATCTTCCAATGTAGGCTACTTCAATTTTAGAATAGATTTTCTCTGTAAAACTGTAATTTTTTTTTTCTACTCCTAGATTAGCCGGGTGGCATCTTCATGCCAAATTTACTTAGTAGATTTAATTTGTAAGAATTCACATCTACTGTAAATAATAAAATATAGCAAGAAAGCTTGCATGATTTTTAAATTGCCTATAACGCCAGGTGCCATTTTTATGCCAAATTTAATTTGCAAGAATGCACATCTACACAAAAAGTATAGCAAGAAATCTTGACTGATTTTTAAATGGCCTATAATGACTTGAGGTCAGTTGAACCTCAAGACAGATGTTAAGTGCTTTGTGTTACAATATGGCTAATACATTTAAGAACAAAACTGTCCTGTGGTTTCTTTCAACAAGCAGTATATTCAATCTCAGGCTTTAAACCATTTGACAAATCATTGTCCTCTATAAATGGACTTCATTACGTACTCGTAACTTGCGTCCAAACACTGTGACCTTCGTCCTCGTCTGCTCTTTACGAAAGCGCCATTCAACCAAGTTTTGCCCGCTGTCATCAGGTAGGGTCATGTTTCTTCGTGCCAGCGTAGGGGTGGATGCACCAGCCAGAATGTGTGGTTCCGTCTGGTAGTGAGTGTTCATTCCATTGGCATACAGAATCCACAAGGAATGGTCATAACCAATCACATAGTTGTTCTTCAGCTGATCTGCAAAATAAAAAAGACAACATAAAATATAACTGCAAGCAGCAATTAAGGGGCCAAGCACAACGGAGTCAAAATGAGGAACTAAGCATGGCATGGAGCATCAGTCCAAATGCAACAATGAGTAATTAAAGCTTTTAGGATGATTTAAACAATTTGGTGTCAATATGCCAAAGTACTGCAGAGTTCCAGCCTCAGTATCAGCTTGGCATCATGCCAACAATTTCATTTAAACTTTTTGTCAGCATGGTCTGAAGATGATCCGAGTCAAATTTGGTGAAAATCCGACCAAAGATCTAGGAGGAGTTTGAGTAGGTTTTCAACATAAATCAAAATGGTGGACAGGAAGTTCGGCTGACTATGGTAAAATTGGTATCTATGTTCTCGGCATGACCCAAAAAAATATATTCAGACCAGATTCATTACAATAGGCTAATATACTCAAAAGTTATTAGCATTTTTGGAAATTTCATTATAACTTTTTGTTTTTTCATTATAACCTTGAAACTTTTTGAGTACCATCAGGGCATGGTGCTGAAGACACATACTGTGTTTCGTAATGATACACCAATGCATTCATAAAATCGAGCATTTTATGAGAAAATTCAAAATGGCCGATGCCCAAAATTGCTGACATGGGAAAATTCGGTATCGTTCAATTCGGCATGCTGCACTGACTCTAAAGAGACCAGTTTTGTGGCCAAACCATTCAGAAGTTATAAGCTAAAACAGCCATTTTTAATATCTCCTGACCACTAGGTGGGGCTGAGCCGAAACTGTGCAGGTAGTGGTTATCATAACACGCACCAAGTTTGGTCTGAATACGACAAAGCGTTGGAGAGAAAAATCTCATGTCCAATTTGGCGAGCTTTTCGTTGATTTGTTTGCATGGTTTTCGAGAACGGATGGGTCTATCAAAAATCTTTTGATAGCTTTTTGCCAGGATGGTCTGAAGATGATCTGTGTCAATTCTGGTGAGTAGATTTTTCGAACTACTAAAAATTGTGAAAAATCTTGACCCCTAATGACACAGGCAAAAAGGCCAAAATATTTATAAACAAAAAAACATCAGAACACAAGGGTTACCTTGGTGTAACATGAGGACTTTTTGAATTGCTGACTGGTTTGTAGTTATGATTGCAGCTTCATCTCGTTCAAAACTTTCTCTTTCTACTGTAGAGACAGTATCCATGTCATAGGCCAGACTGGTCACCACACCAGTAGGAAAAGTTACATTGGTCAGTCGTCCCTCTGTGTCATAGCTGAAAAAGAGAGAGGGGGATGTTGCATTTAATGCATTCCATATGAATAAGCACTTTTCTACTGTGCTATCTGTTTTAAAGTCTAGATTACTTCTGTGTTGGTATGTTGTTCCCTAGAAACGATTCAGGTCCTCTTTCAAAATTCTTGGATTTTTCCCAATTCATCATCCACCAGGCAAAAGTCTGACTACTTAGAAAAGTAACAGTACACCTCTCCATAATAACCAGCTTGATTTTAGATATCATTCATGTCTGTAGCACAAATGTTTTTGGGTGAGTGAGTATGAGTCGACATTTAATACTTGTTCAAATCGCTGATCCTAAATGTGAGCAATAATAGCAATGTTTACCCTGGCAAGCACAGAGTAGCAAGCAGAAACGCTCAAACACTCTTACTCATAGAATGTTGTCCATCCATTGGCAGTGGTCTTGGTTGCCAGGAGACCACTGTTGCCATGGTAAGTTAGCAGCACCTGTTCACGCCCCTGTGTGCCAAGGGTCTTCAGCCCACCACTTGAGCCTACAGTTAGCCAAATAACCTGGTTGTCAGGTGCAACGATGCGGACAGGAAGGCGGCTGGCATCCCGGCGAATCCGTAGCGTGTTCCCATAACTGTCAGCCACTGAGGTCAGATCTCCTTCATTGCTATAGCTGAAGTTGTATTTGAAGTCACCAGTGATCAGGTTGGCTGTGTGCTGGTGTGTGCCATTACTGTCAAACATGTATACTTCCTGCTCCGCGGACGATGCCACTTCATACAAGCCCATGCTGTTAAGTGCAGGCTTGTTTTTTCCAATCACTCGAATGCGAATGTTTCCCAGGTCGGCTACATACAGGGTTCCATCCGGAGCTGCCACGAGAGAGGACGGCCCATTCAGCCGAGCGTCTTTAGCGAAGCCATCTCCTGTTAGGTAACAATCACAGTTGACGTCGGTCTTGCAGTCGCAATCTGAAGGTGTCCCCGCCAGGTGAGTGATCTCGCCATCTGCTGCCACGCTGCGTATGCGGCTCATCTTCCTCTCGTCTGTCTCCGCGATGTGCAGCACTCCATTGAAGGAGACAGTGATGGTGCTTGGGGATTCCAGATGGGTATGCGTGGCTCGCTGTGTTTCTGTCACCGAGATGTCTGTAGAAGGCATGGGGCAGTGAAGGGGTCTGCCTGCTGCCACACTGACCTGCCCCTCCTCAGTGATCCGCAAAACCACACTGCCATCCAGCACAAACAATGAGTTATCCATCGGACTAACAGCCAGATCTGTTGGCCATTCTAAAGACACCTAAAGGCAGAGAGATAAGACGAAAGGAATTGTACAAAAAAATATGCAGCTGTTATAGTTTATATAGCTCCACTTCCATTTATAAAGATATTAGTAAATATTAGTTTTTAATCCTACCCGCATACATAATAGCTTTTAATATTTCATTAATATTTCAAGCTGTATAAATTATCGATAGATATTTTGTTAACACTTTGCAGCAAGGTTGTATATGTTAACATTAATGCAATAGCTTTAATATTAACATTGAGAAACAACAATTAAATTAATTAATACATTAAAATAAAAAGTTGTATAAATTAACATTAGTTAACTTATCTTAATATTTTATTTATAAATTAATTTTTACCTGGAACAAGAAATTATTTTTTAATTATTTAATTGTAACAAACATGAATGAACTATCATCAATAATATATTTATAAAATAATATTAACCAAGAGCAATAAATTAAATTATTTGTACTTATTTTGAAATCATTGTTAGTTCATGATATCAATACATTTGTGTTAACAAAGTCACCTTACTGTAAAGTGTTATACATTTTTTTCTTTTTTTGTGTGATTTTTGAGAAAAATATCTCATAATTTGAGATAATCTCATAATCGTTATAATAAAAATTTCATATTTGCCATAATATAATGTGTATATGGGGGTTTTATTGATCATTGGCCTACTATAGATTTCAGTATCGGTATTTGTATACTAAAAAACCCATAACAGCTAATCACTATGGCACTGTATGGAAAAAAAAAGTGAAATTACATCTGAAACATGTATCAGGACCAAAACTCATTTAGGTCTCTCCATAAGTCGTGATAAATTACTCGAGTGTGTTGATTTGAGCAATTTTCACTTTTCACCTGATGGACATCCATAACTGAGTCGCAGCTCAGAGGTCGAGCAGAGGCAAGGTCATTGGACCCCAGTAAGGTGGAGATGATGCCATTCTGCTCCACCTTCCGGATTACGGTCCCATCCACAAAGTAGATCAGTCCGTTCTTGGCGACGGCGATCCCTGGGGAGAATAGAGGAAGGAACGAAATGTGCAGGTCACACAGCTGTGGTCTTTGCTTGCCTGATCCAGGCAGCGGGTACATGTGTCGTGTTTGGCTTCCCATTATTCAGGTCACTGCAGAAAGCATCGCTCTCAATTATTCACATCTTGTCTCCCACTGCTGAATTATTTCTTAAGGAGAAAGTGGAATAGGATGTATTAGAACATCTCTCCCTCCCTCTAGCATTTCAGCCTGTGTTCACTCTCTCTCACTCTGCCTCAGTCGGTCTGTAAGTCTGCTCAGGGTATTTGACAAAAGCATAGAATGGGAAAGCATCAAACCCACTTTTAAACCCAAATTATGAAAGTGTGGGTTGCTATAGTAACTGCCGCTTGGTAAATGCGTGCCTAGCTGAGTGGTAGCACCGAGAGTTTGTGTGCCTGACAAAAACAGTGAACTGACGTTATGGCAGAAATCTCAGTCCCAACCGAGGAAACTGCATGTATGCATCAATGCCTCTGACTTTTTTTATAGTTACGACAGCCAGAATGTAGATATATTACGTACCCATCTACACAGGAAATATGATATCTAATGTATCCATCATTCACTGCATGCATTCATGTGTGAATGACATTTTATTGAAAAACAATGAAAACATATCTTTTTCTGCATGACGAGATTATATGCTGAAATAGGTTGTCTATATTCACCAGGCAAGTGTGACGTTTTATAATTTATGTCATGAAGTCATGAATCGTTCAAAGAAGATTCATCAATCCATTGTGTCTGGCTCAGTCAAATAATTTAATACCTATCCCGGGGCTGTCAGTTCCCATTTCCCTCGTTGAAGCGCCAATCAAAAACCTCACTACATAATACAGTGTTAAAAGCTCACAGAGCTTTGGGATGATCTTTCATGCCAATCAAAGTGTGTCATATGCCTCAGAAGATTCATTGCAGCTATTTCAGAAGTTTGAAGAACCCATGTTTCTCAACTCTTTCCTTGAAAAGAATGCATGACCCTTTTGATTGTCAGTTTTAATGATCCTGTAATAATACCTTTGGGTCCTGTGAGGAGAGCCTCAGTGGCTGGTCCTCCATCTCCACACTGAGTTTCATCAAAAGGAAGACAGTGATCTCCTGTTCCCGCCACCACCTCCACATTTTGCTGGGGCTCTGAGCTGGCCAGGAGCACCTGCGGGCTGTAGATGCGTCTGGAGTTGGTGTCGGACACATACAGCCGCCCCGTCATGGGATCCGTTGTCAGGTAGTAGCGGTGAGCGGGATTGTTACTTGGGGAGAGACATATAAACAGTAGGAGTTATGAGCGAAGACATTAGTCTGCTGTCAAGCCGAGTCAGTGCGACTCATAAATTATTGGTCTGACATTGCAATTGGAGATGGCAGATGAAATGAGAGACTGATTAGAATATTGATATCATTAAAGACGTTGAGAGAATCGCAGCATGTTTTTCGCATCTATCAAAAGGGTGTGAGCTCCTGACAGATGGAAAGAAGAAAAAAAGAATGTGTGAAAGGGAAGTAAATGTGATGTGACTGGAACGTATTTTCGGAGGCTGTGATGACGACTTCAAGACTGCCAGATCATTTCAATCATTCCTGTTCCCTTGCGGGGAAAGGTTCTCTGCGATGCGGTGATGATATGCATATCTTAATGACTGTCAACAACTGATGGCTTTTCAGAACGCTATGCTTATTTGCATTCATTAATTCTGTCTCCCAATCAGCCTGCTCCTTTCTGAATGAGTTAGTGCGGCCCCTCCAGACATGCCATTAGTGGTTAAATGACCAGTCCAGTCGAGACTTCGTGCATGATGGTGTGGAGATCTGTGACCTTCTCGTATGGGATCAGACAAATATTTTCACGTTTTATCAAAAGCAGTTTTAGGGCTTTTCTTGCATGCTGAAACCAATTCACACTCAGAGGCACTGGTCTGTGTAAAATCCAAATGGTGGTACTTCTTTCAGCTGAAGGCCCAGAGTGTCGGCCACTACATCATAATCCAAAGTCCTCTTACATGGCTTCAGTAAATCTTTTAGACAGTCAAAAATGTGGTGATGTTCAAACATCTCTCATAAAATGTGCCTTGACATCTTAAGGGATTAGTAACAAACCTGGGTTAGTTTTCTATAGACACCCTTTGGACATTTAATTCCATTAAAAAAATACAAATTTGCCAAGGGGTCACGAGTGATGTTTGTTGATCTGAAAAAAGTTACCCATCTAAAATGTTGTACATAATACATGCATGTTTTATAAAACAAATCAGCATTGTGTGACATTTACTACACGCAACTTACCTGTGCCTGAAATCCTTATTTCTTTGGGTAGTTTGAAAGAAGGAGGGAAACATATAGTCAGAACATATGGTATAGGTAAAATAGTATACACTTATTCTATTTACTTCCCATAACCTCTTGTCCATCTAGTTCAGGACCCCACTGGTGACTACTGTATTTATTCTCCACAATCCTATACTGAGATTACAATACCTCAAATTTTTTTTATGTATTCTAAAATATTTCTATTTACCTTTTTATTTCAGTTATTTTAGAACTTCAACTTAAGACTGGCCCACACTAAAATATTTTTTAAATCTTGTCAGATTTTCACAATGTGAGAGACCAAACACAACGATAAAAGAAATCATAGATTTAACAGTTTTGTTCCTATAGTATGTGACGAAGACAGCACACCATACTAACTGATTCCATTCACAAACAACCAGAGTCCCAGCTATGAACACAAGAAATCTTGCGTGGTCAAATGTGTAAACAAATGGTGGAAAACGGGCAACAAGAAATGGCGTTAATAGAATTTAAATTTCTTTTTTTCAAAATTGGTGGAAATAAAGAAAAAGGTTGAAAGTAGTTTGAATGAAGTTGTTTGAATGAAGTAATGAAGTAGTGTGAATGTGGACTTTACATTACAGCGCGAGCTGGAGGTGATTAATGCTTCCGTAAACTCGCTTTCTGATTGAGAATCATTTCGTTCCACGTAACAATGTACAGAGTGTGTGCGCATTTGTCCTCAGGGATCCCCCCACTCAACAGGATTTCTGATAGCATATATTCAACATGTTGCATATTTACGATTTGAGACTGGTGCAGCCACGACGTTCAATTCAATCACTCTTAACACACCACAGGAAAATCGTATAAGATAATCTGTAGAACCATTAAATTCTACATGTATGTAAGGACTTTACCTAGGATTGTCGAAAGGGAATAATTCGGCCCTAAATCGGCCAATTTATCTTGTAGTGTATGCCCCACTTTTGTTACTGGGGAAACTTTTTTTTTCTTCTACTCATATTTATATTTTATTTTATTTCAGCTTTACTTCAATTAATGAAAAGTATTTTTAATAACAAAAACAACACTGATTCTTAACACTGTATGTGGCAACGTGTTGAAATAAAATTATATTATATTCTAAAATTCTGTGCATTTCAAAGTAGATTTGAAATAAAACAACTTCTTTGACAGTTTACTTTCTAACAGGATAAAACACAACACTCTGTCAGCACACTAAAATCTAAACGTCTCTAAATTCATCCCCTTTCAACCACTGCTGCTACTGCTATCAAAGCACTGCTTACAAATTCACAGCATTCAACAATAACTTTCAAGACAATTACTGTCGGACTTTAAAAATTGCCTGCTGTGAGAATTGGTGCCACTATTATGCAAAATCTGAAGGCCTTCGTTTTGTGAGCACTAGTTTTTGTGGATTAAAAACGCTTACGCTTTTAAATGTTTTGTAGAGAGACTGTCTAGATCAGGGGTGGTGAACTCCGGTCCTGGAGAGCCGCAGCCCTGCAGAGTTCAGCTCCAACCCTAATTAAAACTCACCTGCCTGTAGCTTCCTAGTAACCCTTTAGGCCTTGATTAGCTTGTTCAGGTGTGTTTGATTAGGGTTGAAGCAAAACTCTGCAGGGCTGCGGCTCTCCAGGACCGACGTTCGCCACCCCTGGTCTAGATGCTGCCTCTCAACATGCTGCGATTTGTCACAAAATGTCTCCTGTAGTATTCTGCTAGATTTCCTTGCCGCTGAATCACCCATCCAGTTGTGCTCACTCACCTGAGCTCCATGACACTGGTGACATTGCCTGACGGATAGATGCGTCTGATGTAATTGAAGTCGCCAACATACAGGCTCCCATCAATGCCCCTTGCAAGAGCAACAGGTGCCAGCAGTTTGTTTCCCTCCGCCTGCCCATTACAGCTTGGGCAGGAGATGCTTCTGCGTCTGCCATTCCCCATTATGGTGCTGATGATGGGAGGAAGCTGGGAGAGGAAGACATTCTCACCATTTCCCTTATACAGGATCCCTGAGACACCAGAGAGAGTGGGAGGGAAAAAAAGAGTAGTTTAAAAAAAATAAACATAAACCAGAATCACATAAACCCAGGAAAAGAATATTATTATTATTACTACTACTACTACTAATAAAAAAAAAATAAAAAAAAATTATAAACTTGATTAATTTGTTTTATACAGACAAGCAGAGAAATGCTATTCTTATCTGACTTCACAACCTCAAATGCTCTTGTAATCTATAAGAGGGATGGAAAAAAAAAAAGAGCAGACGGGTTTTTTTTTCTTTTTTTTCTGGCTGTAATGGATAGGCCTGAGCATATAACTCAACTAAAGATGAAAGTTCCTACCCTGGACATCACTATGAAAAGGGGGCACTTAGCGCTGTGATCTTCCCGAACTTCCGTTAGAAACTCCATTAATGTGGACATTGAAGTAGCACTTTGATGAGGAAGCTCCAAAAAGAATTAAGCTGCTAAAGGCATCAGAGCTACCATAATGAACATTTTCATTAATATTGATGATTAGACTTCAACTTTTGAAATAAATCGAGCACTTCTTGAGCAGTCTAGTTTTAAGCAGAATTACATCTTTTTTTATTTGATGTTAGTCTTTGTTATTTCGGTTTTGCATTATTTTCCTTTCAATGCGATTTAGTACATGTACATGAAAATGAGCAGAAGGATAAATATATTGCATTTGCATGATAGGAGCTATGCTATAATTTGTGTCAAATCACTAAAAATGTTATTAAAAATATAAATTTTCTACATTTTATAAATCTACTTATCAGTCATTTTCTTAATTATTTTAGCACATACATGTATTTGTCTGATTATTTCTCACTTTAATTTTCAACAACTGAAATATATTTTACATGTTCAGAGAAAAGCTTATGCCACACAATAGCAGTTTTGATGGCAAAACTATGATTTACTTTTTTTTAAGGATTTTGTCGTGTTTGTGCTGTTGAATCAGATAGAATCTGTCTCAAATGTGCAATATCCAAAAAAAGAATACGGTCCTCAGGCATTAAATGTACCAACCGGAGACATTTCGATCACCTGAGAGGTGATTGTCTACACAGCTGTGTGCTTTATTTTCCAGTCCCTATAGATCTCAGCTTCTAAAACCTTTGATCGTTTCAATCATTTTAACACCCCTTTCAGTCCAAGACTGAGCGAGGAGCTTGGGTCATTACAGATAAATATTTCAGTCATGTGAAAATTTAACTTGTTTCTTTTTGGGGTTGGCTTCAAAGAGGAACTTCAAAGGGAAGTGTCATGCCCAGGGCCATAAATTATTCATACTGAGCAACATGTTAGACTTTCAACTTTGGCCTATTAATCATATCAGTAACATGGCACTGAACGACACTCCCATTGGCTGGCCACTACATCTCAAGTTCAGTAACTAGCTACCTCAGTGGCTACACACAATCACCTTTGCTTTGTAATTAGTTCAGAGGCCGCATTTCATTAAAACTATAGGAGTCTGAAACTGTGCAGTTTCAAATGTTTTTTGACTCTCTTCTAATGGAGGGTGGTCTACTCCGATCATGGAAATACAGAAAATAGATAACACTGTGGTCGAATAGTTGGACCAAAGACTAACAAGTTGACTAGTTAATGTTTTTTTTCTAGATAATTCTGATATTTTTAGCAGAGGTGCTTTAATTAGAATACATTCAGCGTAGTGTGCTTTAGCAGTTAGTCAAGTCAGTCAAATGTATTTGTATAGCGCTTTACATTCATACTTTTATGTATAGAATTCCTTAACATAGAGCAGTTTTAGGGCTGGGCAATGTGATGATATATAACAATGGTATAAATGATCTCTGCATTTAGATCTAGCCATATTGTATTTATTTTGTGTAGCAGATATACAGTATATGTGCCTTAGTGGCACGACTGAGTGAATGTAAGTAAAGTCACAAAACTGAAGTAATGTCTGTTGATTTCACTGAAAGACGGAGTTATGACAATTTGATTAAAGAGATAAAAAAAAAGGAACTTTTAGACAGTAAAACCTTTTGGGAAAAGTTGCATCTTCAGCTACATCCCATTTTAAAGCACCAGCCATTAAAAAACAGTCATACACATTCAGACAGACATATTTAGCTGTTACATCGCATCTTGGCATGTCATGCTAAAAAAAGTATTTGAAAAACATGTCAAAACCTTATCATTCTGTTCCATTCAGTTGCATTTTGTATAGCTGGTTTTGGAACTAAAAAAAAGTGTCCTACGTAAACACAGCCAAAGAAATGTGAACCTGAAAACATCCTAATTATACAGGCCAACTAGATGATTTTCAAAATATGTAGATTTGCACATCACTAGTCGCCCATCCCAAACGCACTGTGTCGCTGACGAGACAAATCAAGTGCATCCAGTGCCAAGTCTCATCGGGCATTCCTCTTTAGTGTGATGACTGTCACTTTAGCAGCAAGCGTGGTAAACTGTCATTGGCTGAAATCAGCTGTTAATTCACAGAGTGCTTAAATAACCCAAAACCCTCTGCAATTCTGAACTGCATGCGATTCATGGCTAATGTCTTCCCATGTGAGGCTAAGCAGGGTGCATAGCAATTTGTTCCTGCTTGATTAAGCCCTGCCATTGATTAATTGATTGAGAGGAGGACTGGAATGAAGACAAAGTCGGAGGGGATCTTGAGAACACCCAGCTCAATAGAAGTTGCTGTTCTCATTCAGAGGTCTACAATGTACCATTAAGTAAGAAGAATTGGTCTGGGTGGCTGCTTTTAAGTGTGACTCAACAAAGCCACTGACCTTGACAGCAAGACAAACCAGTGACACTTCTCACTTACTCAAATTGCGATTGCTGCATTGCATTGCCCTGATCGCATTATGCACAGCGCACATTACTTATGAACCACTGTTCAAATACAAGGAAGAAAATAATGAACTACTATATCTACAAAGATCTGACTGTAAATCCTATACAAAACCCTGCGCAACCAGAACAACATTAACAATAACTCATATATTGATTGGAATAATCAACATCGCTGTCATGAAGGCATTGTGGGTGGTTGCCAGGATATTGCTATGGAGTTACTAAGATGTTCTGGATGGTTTCTTACTAATAAAGTCCAATGTCTTTGTTATACTTTATTCCCTAGATTTTATTTTCTTTCTTTTCATCATTCTGAAGTAACAATAAAACTAATTGCTTAGAAAAGTAATTACAGAAATGTCCTCAAGCCACAATAGATATCCATAGCACAAACTGTGTGCAAGCATTGCAAGAACCACAAATTGCATGCAGCGTCACAAAATAATTACATTTAAAGTGCATGTTTTTCATTAGTCTTTGTCATTACCATGCAGCGTGGATGCTGTAAATCGTGGCCTGATTAACTTGTGACTTTATGGCTAGACCTTTAGGTGAAAAGCAGTCGATTTGTTTTGGCCACTCTCAGCTACATGTTAATGTCTATGAAGTACAACAAACTCTATAAATGGAAATTTCATTCAATGTCATCTACAGTAATGCAATGCTTATGCTTATTGATTATTCACTGAGCAAACATGCTGATCAAATAGCAATGGGATAAATAAAACTATTTTGTAAATGTCAAGCAAACAAGCTGAATATCAAATCTTCTAGGTGTTCTGCAGCATTCATAGATGCTTCAGGCTAAGCAGCATGCCATATCAAAAAGTTTAAGGATTGACACCTATAGTGGGGTCCAAAAGTTTGAGACAACATTGAACTTTTTTTCCCCCCCTAAAATTAAACTTTTAGGCTTTAACATTATAACATTTAAAATGTCATAAAACAAATAAGAAATATCTTTCTTCAATATTTCTAGAGAACAAATAAAATGAGAAACAATTATTTGATTAGTGATCTAGAAATAGTTAAACATCTTTAATATTTGCAATGAAGTTAAGACAAAAAAGAAGAATCACTGAAGTCACTAATCACATAAGCAACTTCGTAACACTGTTGATGTGAACTTTGTACTGATGGTTAGTTATTCTTGATTTGTTAAAAAAAAGTACAATATGCTCTTTGGCTCATTCTCAAATCATGCTGCAGAAAATGATCATCGGCTTTTACACAAACATGTGGAATTCGTTCTGCTTGAGTACTGCTCTCAAAAGGACAAACAAAATACTTTTCTGAAATTTGACAAAAAATTTTCAGTTCAGCCTTTTTTATTTCATCTGGTGTGCTGATAACTTTTATAATACATTTGTTTGCATTCCATTAGAAAAATGCAAAATAGAAGCATTTGTGTATTAGCTTTATGGACGATATGATAAATATTGAAGATAAAGACTAAAATCACCAAGAGCATGGTTGTGTCATAAGGAAAAGCTCAGCAATGGGATGTAGCTCTTGCTCAAACACATACACATATGCCCAGGCACACATTTTGCACAGCCGCTGACTGCTGATCAGACCTGTAAGCCATAGATATGAGAGGCTCTGCATTATCAATCAGTGAGACAAATGGGACTGTCAAAGAGAAGATCTCCCTTTGGCAAATTGATTACATTTGTGACATGTTCTTCAGGACAAAATGTTTTCCCATCTCTATCACTTACCATGCATTGCTTCTGATGCACAAAAATGCACTAATCGAAAAGATTGTAAAGGTGACATGCCCAAATGTGCAAAGCTTTCATCTAATTTATAAAACTCAGATTAAACAGGTTGAGCCAGATTAATGTCTTAAGCTCTTTTAAGAGCTATTCTTCTCAGAGTAAACTTATAAGTCGATGCCTAAGAAGATTATGAGCATGTAGATAAATAATGAGTAACCCCGTGTAAAACTCACCTAACCAGAAACCTGACAACAGAGTTATGAGAAGAACAGACGATCATGTTATGGATTTGTATATTTAACAGAGCTGAGAGCTCTAGGACATATGCTCTATGCCTCAGTGCTTTCCATCAGAATATGCAGTTCCCGGCTTTTTGTTCCATCGCTTTCAACTGTGTCTGTGAGGTTTTTGACAGATTTAGTTCACAAAAACAGTAAAAATAATGCAGTTGATCTTCAATTCAAAGTCTATGAACTTCAGCAGCTAGCAAAAAAAAAAAGTAGAATAAAAATATTTATATCTCTAAATATTTACCATAACAAATAAATAAAAATATGCCATGATATCATCTACATGCATTGAAAATAATTATAAAAAGGCAGTCAGAATAAAGTGATATGATGCACCCTACTGGATTTGGCAAATCAATTAAATGCACTATTAACTAATCAGTAGTACTGTAACTTTGAAATGATCAAATTCGAACACCAAAACATTTCTATAATAATGGTCTAATCTAAATAAGATGATGTAAGCTATCTCTATATCTTCGAAAATCTGCAATTGGTTTAATCCACTCTGGCGCTTGAGGTGTAAAATTAGATTTTAAGACTTACTGGCAGAAACAGTGCTTAAACCAGATAAACTGTCTAGAGGTGCAAAAATAAGGGTTGAGCAGACGGCCATGACCATTTGTTCGGCAGGTCGTCGGATTAAAGGATGTGGAAATCCCAAGGCCAACTGGGCATTTAGCCAGCAATCAGAAAGAGGCTTAAATCTTTGGTTCAGGCAAGGAACAATCAGATGTTGTCACACTAACTAACTCTAGAGAAACAACCTGAGACAACCGCACCTGAAAAGTGTCAGTCTAATCTTCTGTTTTCATTTAGGGCATCAGAATGTGCTGCAGAGCCGACTTCTTTTTGCAAAATGCACCATTAAATACGACTGCTGGGCCCGGTTCAAACTGTGCACACATCGTCATTTACCAAGAATAAAAAGATGCCATTATGTGTGTGAATATGGAGATTTAAGCTGACAGAATGAGCTTCCCTGTCACCCTGTTTCATTATGAAGACAAAGGAACAAGGAATGACTTGTGGAATAGTGCCACATTTCCATATTCACGCTTGTGTTTTAATGGCACTTTTATTGAATTAAGCTATAAGTATGCATTCTGCGCCTGAAAACTGGATAAAGTTCATTCAGCCAAATCATATCCCCCATAATGTTGGAGTGCACAGCTCTGACTTGGCACGCTGTGTTAATGATTCCGATTTAATCTGTCATCACTGTGAGCGATTAGCCCTTTCAAACTCTGCTTTATTATGTGCAAATGAGGCAATGAATGATGTTAAGAGGCAATGAACGATGTTAAGATTAATATTTATGACAATGAGTCCAGGTGGAGGCACTGACCCCTGAATTGGCGAGGGGACATTTCCCATGAGGTGGTTCCGGTGGGGTTTAATAAGCGATTCCTACCGTTTGGCACATCCAAGATGTGATGCTTATCCAGGGTCCATCCGCCCATGTTGGAGGCCTCCAGCTCATATCCTTGCAGCGTGGCTGTCCGCTTTTCCCACAGGATCACATTCAGGCATGATTCATACTCAAAGCCCACGGATACTACAGTATAGAGGGGGAAACAGGGCAAAAGGTATCTAATTATCCTTAAATATTTTTCTACCTAATTTGATATAGGTTTCATGTTTAAATTATTCAATTAAAGAAAATATTTTCAGGATTCTTTAACATGCAAATATTTTAAGAATATATAATTTTAAGCATTTAAACATTGTTTATTCTATAGGTGAATCACTTGTGTATTGAATGTAATACCTGCAAAATATACATGGTTTTTGACAATTTACTGTTTATGCACATGGAAAACTGGTGCAGTAACTATTTCAGAGCAGCTACAACCTTGTTAGGGGAAAATGCTTCTGTAAATAGCATGATTATAACAAGTCCAGTCATAGCAACATTTTCCAAATGGGCCTGTGACCTTCTGAAAGCTGATGTTTCTCAGTGCGCTTCATTTGCAGACTAATTATACATGCAAAGAGCAGTCAGCAGTATATAGATGGGACCTGAAAAATGCAGCTGCTTATCCCTTTTATTTATTGCTAGAACACAACCCAGTGTCAGTTTAGCAAAAGATGGTTAGGATAACAATTAAGCATATGCTGCATATTCAACAAAATGAGATTGACTTTTGAACTATGTGTATTTTCAGCAAGGTTTAAATCATACATTTTGTGCCGGAATTAAAATGAAACCATATTATTGTCCTGTATTCTCTGTCCTAAATCCCTTTAACAACCATTAGTTTAGGGTTCAGAGAATATTAAGTTCAACCTTCTGGTCTGTTTAATAATAAGCCCTCTTCTCCTAATCAGTTTGACTTGTACTATCAGTTTATAGGGAGATTCATCTCAACACTGAAATATCTGGGTGAAAAAAGATTAATTTGCTCCTGGTTTAAATCAGTCCAAGTTAATAACATATTCATACACAGAGGGCTTTATATAGATCTATTTCCTCCCATTGTTCCACTACTCACCTACAGCCTCTGCGAGTCCATAGACTCTCTGGCTGTACGCATCTGTCTTGTCCCAGATAAAGCTGTAAGAGAGCCGGGGTGAAGCTGGGAACTGCTTCTGAAACATTCTGCCCTCCACAGCCACCATGAGGTGGACCCGAGCCAAGCCGAAGGGCACACTGGACTGGGTCAAGATGACCTTCAGAACAGGTTTGTAGGCTGAAGCACGTGAGCTCAAGTAAATCAAGTCTAAATCACTCACATGGAAAACTCTCCATGACAACCACACCGTGCGATACACAGCGGAGTATGGAGCACGCACGAAACGCAATGTCAGTGCTGTGCCTCCGTTCACCAATAAATCAAACCTGCAGGTGGATAAAAACACAGTCTTCAGAACAGTGCTCATGCATGCTTGACAAATAAATTGGACTCTCGTGAGAAAGTACTATGGTGGTACCATGATACAGTGAAGTCGTTAAAAATAATATTAATAATATGGTATTGCTACAGTTCATGTCCAGAAATATTGTATTCCCATGGTTCATGTCATTATCATTATTAACCATGTTAATATAAGACATTGTAATTTTTTATGTGGTATGCATGGGAATGTATAAAATGAAAAAAAAAATGTATGTAGTGTTATGTAATATACACTGCTATTTTTTTAAATAAATCTATACTTTTATTCAGCAAGGATGCATTAAATTGATGAACAGTGAAGACATTTATAATGTTACAAAAAAATATTTTGTTCTTGTGAACTTTCTAAACATATAAGAATCCTGAAAAAAGTATCATTGTTTTTCATGAACACATTAAGCACCACAACTGTTTTCAACATTGATAATAATAAAAGTTTCTTAAGCAGCAAATCAGCATATCAGAATGATTTCTGAAGGATCATGTGACACTGAAGACTGAAGTAATGGTTGCTAAAAATTCAGCTTTGTCATCACAGAAATATATTACATTTTAAAATACATAACATAAACATTAACATTTAAATTGTAATAATATTTCACAACATTACTATTTTGCTGTATTTGTTTGATCAAATACAGAACGTAGCCTTGGTGAGTAAACGAGACTCATTTCAAAAACATTAAAACATCTCCAAACTTTTGAACAGTAGTGTATATTTACATAATAATTCGCTATTTTTATGAAAGATGTAGTTTGTGCCAGAATCTCTCATTGTTTTTTGTGGGGGAAGAGGGCATATGAAGGCTAAGCGTGATTCATAATTTCCTGTTATCAAACTCATAAGCACATGGGTCCTCTCCAAATTACATGGTTTGTTAGCCTCATCAAAGCACTTAGTTATTGATGTCTTCCACGTTTCATATCTTCCTCTAAAAATTTATCTGTTTCATATATCCAATGAAAATAACAGCTAAATAACATGGCAGACTTCACTGTCTTTTATCAGTAGTTCGCTGGCACACTTAAGATGTTCTATTAGTTTATGAGAGTAGAGGTAGAGATGTGATGTAACTTTCTTACGTTTGAGGGATTTGGATGAGAGATCTGGAGGTAGCAGTTAGAGCAGGACCTATTTTAATTAGCATGGTATAGCGAGGAGGTAGGCGCAGATTTGGAAATGAAGGGGCGTCTCTGAGAAGTCGTGCTTTATATGAGCTGCTGACTCCCCTGCCCGGAAGGAGAGAGATGAACGGTGCGGTGACTTTACACACATACACACAAACATACACATCCATGCAGTGCCACTGCCTTGAAATTCTCCCTAACTGCTCCTGTCCCTTTTTACAATCATGGCATGGCTGGGCCACTGTTCCAGACCATCGGCCTTTAAAGCTGTTTCTTTGCCTCTTTTTCTCCTTGGACACGCTTGCTAACCGAAAGCAGACACCAGCACTGAACAAGCATGATTCTCTGAAGCCCGTTCCCCTGTGTGCAGGTTTTTAGGAGGGATCTGGATATAACGGATAATCCCCAACATCAGGCTTCCTTCTTTAAAGATAAAGATCCATCCCTTGAGTATTTTTTTCTTTCATTAAACTCTATTGAAGAGAAAATAAAGTTTTTAATGCATTACGGTCATGCCTCAGTTAAAGGCATATGGTCGCCACACATACACATGCAAACTCCCACACATGTGACCCTTGAGTAGATGACTCACATTAACTGCTGATCTGAGTGATTCTTGATAATGATGGATAATGACTAAAGGGATTATTATAAAGGTACAAGAAGGTCAGATAGCCCCAGAATCAGCTCAGAACTGAAAGTCAGACTGCTTTAATGTTGTATAACTAGAGTTAAAATGGGGCTCGAAAGGTAACATTTTCATCTTTTTACTGTGTGTGTGGAGATCTGATTTTTGCACTGCTTTATGGGTTTAAATCAGTCTTATGTCCTTCACTGACTTAATTTAATTGGTCAGAATAGTTAATAAATTACCATCTGATTCATGTAAATCATTATTTGTCAGACTCAAAATTACTGCTGGTTTAATGTGTTATTATTATATGTGTGTGTGTGTGTGTGTGTGTGTGTGTGTAGCCAATTTTTTTAGATAAATGTCAATTAAAATATGTATATTGTATTCAATTTTATTAAATGCATAAAAATTATTATTATAAATGTTTAAAATGATTAATGTTTAAACTATATAAATAAATTTAAATTCTAAATACTTTTAATTTATATAATCAATTTAAATTATACATTATGTAAATATTATGTATTATATATATATAAAATATTGTACATTTATTATAATTTGAATAATTTGTATACCTATAAGTATAATTTGTGGAGATTTTGTGTGTTATGCAAAAAACAATCTATGCAAATGTGATCTGTAAATTGAAATTTTGGGGTCATGAAAGGATCATAAAAGGACATTCACAGGTCAAGTTGTAATGTGTTGCCTTTGAGTGACAGTAACACTGACATGGGCTTGAGAATGTGCCTGTTTGTGTTGATTTGACTTGACTCCCACTCACTGTGGGAAGCAGTGAGATGTAAATAGGAATTTGCATAAAACTATGCAAAATGGTTTCTCACTGACTATCTTAAGGATAGGTATTAGCATAATTATGTGTTTGCGTATGTGCTCGTCTGTGTCCGAGTAAAACATATTTGTACGTACATGCCATCCTGTCTGGTGATGGTATAACCCTGCTGGGGGTAATGCAGAAGGGACACATTCACCCCAATCAGTGGAGTGCCGTCACTAGTCACCACCTGTCCTCGCACTACGGACACCAAGCTGTTAAAAAAACACAAACACGCGTTCAAAAACACGTGAATATGGCTCTGAATGAAAACAAAGGTTTTTAAGATCAGCAGGCTATTTGTTAAAAAATAAAACAATAAGCAGCATTAAATTCAATATTTTATATATAAAATTAAAAGATTTTATATATAAAATGTCCATTTCTACTATAAAATGCCTCAATCCACTGCACCTAACCTTCCTCTGTCGTTCTATTTTGATAATATTTACAGACATAATTACAGCACAAATTATTTTACCAAGCACCATTTAGTGGCTGACCTGCAATCTCGCATTTTTAGTCTAATTGTGTGATAATTTCTCACTGTGCGAACAAAAGAAACCTCAGGGCAGATGGGCGGGATGAGAAGTTTCCTCATCAAGCCATAATCAAAAGCTTCATCAGCCAAATATCAAGAGATTCTAACAAGTTTTTCTTGACTGGTCCTATTCTTAGGCAGTGAAGACAAGCAGCAATGTTCATATTGTTAACTTTGCCCAAAAACACCAAAGGGCTAAGAACATATTCACTCGAGATTCCAAAATTGAAGAGGTGCAAAGGTGAGGAGCTCAATTTTTTCCACTGGAAAAAGTAATCATTTCCTAAAGTACATGGTATATTAGCTTTTGCTACAAATCATACCAATGGTGGATAGCTTCTCTATCTGCAATATGAAAGCAGCAGAAATTAGATAGGACAACATGGAGGCTTCAAAAAGGGAAATTGAAGTTCTGAATTCCAATCAAAAAGTAAAACCCTATTGTCTTTTCTGTATGAGTGTGGGAGGCTTGCTCTATCTTCTCATGCCGTTAGATCTATGACCGTTACAATCTATGATCTACTGTATGAAACGTTACAAAAATCACTTTAAGATTGTGGGAAATTTTGTGCATCACATCAAACGGCATCATTACTTGCATAGCCAAGAAGGACTTTCTATGCATATGCATTTTAATATGTTATGCTACTGATAAATAAAACATGAAATAGAGGCATTATCGGGATAATAAGCCATGTGTCTCAGCGAGAAGCTTAGAATGATATATATGTTAAATAACTTTGATGTTTAAAATCCTTTTTAAATAACGTTAATTTCCGAAAGCAGCTAAACTAGCAATTTTATGACATCATAAAATATGTTTTAACATTATTAAAAAGTCATAAAAATACAGCTTCTAAAACAACTATAAAATGCAGGTTTCTAAGCTAGATTGGAAGTATTAAAGGGATAGTCCACTCACAAATGGCAATTCTGAGATACATGTTTTTTTTTTCCTACAATAAATGTCAATGGGGTCTAAAACAACATTGGGGTCAAATGACAAAAAAAAAAAGAAATTTTCTCTTGTGGTAATATCCATTTTCGGGTGAAGTATCCCTTCCAGCCACATTTTTTAGTTCACTGTAGGATAGGTCCCAATACTCTAACTAAATCCAAACCTAGTTGATTGTTCTTCAGCAGTTTAAGATCTCCTAACCTGCTGTTGAATGTGTTTTCCTCTGGTAGGGTATGTGTGCCTCCCGGAACTACCAGAAAGCTGACGCGCTGATAGAAGCCCTGAGCGTCTGGAGCAGGTGAGCTGAGGTATTGCATTGCGCTGGGATCTGGAGCCCCGCGGCAATATGTCTGACCCTGACAGGTGCTGTGAATGCAACAGTCTGGGTCCATACAGTCCACCAAGCCATCTAAAACAACAGCAAGGGACTTTTGACTACATAATCAGTGTTTTTAAAGTCATGTAGTCATTTATTAGTACAGCATGGGGAGCACCATCCTATTAAAACAAATATTTATTCCCCAACTTCTTGTCATTTTCTCACCTCCCTCGTTGTCCTTGCCATCAGAGCAAAGGGTTTCCATGGCGACATCACACCCCACCCCTCTCCATCCCGACTGGCAGAGGCAGTGCCATCCGTTCTGGTCCAAAATGCACCTGCCGTTGTTGTTACACAGCCCTGGACAGCTATCTACCGGGACAAATTCATCAGTTATACATACTGACCAATCAGCAGCCAAGGATGTGTCAAAGGGGTGAAGAACTCACCATACAGAACTGCATAAACATACAGGGGAAAACACGGTGAATGTGTTTTAGTCAGTCAAACGTTTGGAACTTTGGACTCAGGGACAGCTGTAATTTCACATGAAACAACTGGACAAAATATGTGCTTTAGTATTGTAGAAAATGAAAAAGGATTTTTATTACTTATTATTATTTTCTGTTTCCATTTCTAGGAGAATAGATTAATAAATTCAGCTAAATACCAGCTAGGCAAAATGATTTGCAAAAAAAAATACATAAAATAAAATATTTATGAGGTATCTGAGCAGCTTATAAAGTTAAAAGAACATTCTTATACTATCAAATTACACATCTAGTAGTGTCCATGCGAATTTACAGCATGCTGAGCTGAACAGCACAAGTGCAGGGAGAATTTATCAGACAGTATACTGAAGTGCTCCATCATATCCTTTGTCACAGAATGTGTGAAGTCAAAGGAAATTACAGAGGAAATGCTAAATTAAGGAGCTTAGCAGCTGCTAAATATTACATTAAGAGACAGTGAGATGTACAACAATGGGGATTTGGGTAATGTGAATGTGTATATGTGCATGGACTGACTGATGATTTTATGTGTGTTTTTGTATGCCTACAGTTACACTCTATAAAACAGGAAACCTGAAACCGAACACATGTGAGGACACATTAATACACGGTACATAGACATAATGAAAGTCATGCTTGAGAGACAGAGGGGTCAGAGCCACATGCTCTCTTCAGGGCAGCATGACCTTTACCTCTATATCCTATCCAGTCTGCTATCATGAAGAGACATTCAGGGAAAAGAATTAAACATGGGGTGTTATACTGCGGTATGCAGTGATTTAGTGTCATTTCTATAGACAGCCCACGCAGCCTCTGCTGGTTACACACACCTAATATGCTGCGGCTTACCCTCTCCTCAGTAAATATGACATTTCATGATATTTGCATTGTAATGCTGAAGAGCTCGATTAGAGGAAGGCACGAATGCTTTTGAATTTTTTTTTTTTTTTGATGAAGCAAGGTCTACATCTGTGAATCTGCTTTTCGATTTCATAAACATTTGCATTCAATGAAAATATCACTGGAGAGTTTATTTAAAAAAAAAAAATTTAAGAAAATAATTTAAAAATATATACTTTTTTATAATTATTCCAGACAACACACAGAAAGCAAACATGGTTGATGAAAGAAAGCACTGTACCTTTTATTTTGCTGTCCAAAAAGTGAGCTAGAGTGATAAAAGAAAGAATGAAAGAAGTCATTCAGATGCAAAATCAAAATTTTTGTGCAATGCAAACTATGCAATAAATGTACCTATTCAGCCAACTGGCAACCTGAGAGTTCCCATAAGTCATATTTGAATATGCTACAGTATACTGGTGTGCTGACAATGTGTTTGATTTTAAAATTACTCTCAAGTATTGCATGAATAATTTGACATGTTTCAATATGCAGGGCTCCTGCACTCCAAACAATACATTTCCATGACCTTTCCAGTCATTTCTGTTTACTGGATAAGGATGCTTTCAAAATCAAATGAATTTTTCAGATCTGTGAAGCAGTAATTAAAAAAATATGTGACTAAAAATAATTATTTGTTCACAAATGGTTCACTTTGACTTGTGAGCTTTTGCTCTACACACTTTCTAACCAAGAGCAACATTTAGCTTATGAAATATTTTAGTGCAAAATAAATAAATAAATAATAATAATAATTCATACTACCATTCAAAAGTTTGAGGTGGGTAAGATTTTTTTAATGTTTTTGAAAAATGTCTCTTATGCTCACCAAGACTGCATTTATTGGATCAAAAATACAGTGAAACAGTACTATTGTGAATATTAATAGAATTTAAAAAAGATGTTTTCTATTTTAATATATTTTAAAATGTAATTTATTCCTGTGATGGCAAAGCATTGAACATTGCTCTTCAATATTTTTGTGGAAACCATAATATGTATTTAAACAGACTCTTTGATGAATGAAAAGATCCTTGCTGAATAAAAGTTTATTTATTAAAAAAAAAAAAAAATCTTACTGGCCCCAAATTTTTGAACAGTACTGTATATTCAGAATAAAAATCTGGACTTTTCCATTTTATTCATTTCAATTACTTTTTACTGACCTGTAAAACACAATTTTATTTGTGATATTTATTTGTTTTTACTGTGGGAACACTGAATAAGATACCTTTTAAAGCTAGTATAATACAATACAAGGTTCACAACAGGGTGAACTCACCGATATTGCAGTTTTCTCCCGTCCAACCTTGGTGACACTCACACTTCCCCTTTCGACACACACCGTGCTCCCCACAGTGTGCCTGACACTCCTCCTGTTCACACCCTGCCCCTGACCAGCCGTCCGCACACCGACACACACCTCCAACACACACGCCGTGAGGACTGCAATCCGTTGCACACATTTCTGAAAGAAACAGCATTGTGTTTAAGTCATGAAATACAAGCGTACAGGAATACAAGTCATAAAAATGCAGTTTAGAAAACAACTATAGAAACAAAGCATATTTTGTATAAAGTCACATAGCTTGCATTAATGTAATAATGAATGCCATTCAAATAATCATTATGGATGTACATATTCAAATACTTGTACATTAGATTTTAATTTTATTTAATGCATTTTAATGTGGGATAGACAATGAATCATTTAGCCAAATTGTAGCTTCCAAAAAGGGTAGTTCACCCCAAAATGAAAATTCTGTCATCATTTACTCACCCTCAACCTTCTTCTTTCTTCTGTTGAACATGTAAGAATATATTTTGAAGAACATTGGTAACTCAGCAATTGCTGGTAGCCATTGACTTACAAAATGTTTTTCCCATACTATAGAAGTCAGTGGTTAGTGGTTACCGGCAACTGTTTGTTTGCCAAAAACCTTCAAAATATATTATTTTACGTTCAACAGAAGAAAGAAATTCATACAGGTTTGGAACAACTTGAGGGTGATAAATG